CTGAATTCTATGGGAATAGTTTAAAATAAATAAATAAATAAAAATAAAATGTCTATGCGTCATTGAAATGGAGTCGAATCTGGGGCATTATAACAATGGCATTATTGATTTGCAAAAGAGTCCATAATCCTTAATGTTTCTGACATGGGTTGGGAGACCGCTGAAAAAAGTTGCCGCAGTGTCCTTAAAGGTGCCAGATTCTTTGGGAATAAATAGTAGCGGAGCAACAGAGGATCTCAAGTTGTATGCAGACACTGCTTGAGTGCCAAGTCTAAGGTATTCAGGGAAATTTGTATCATTCAGAGATTTAAAAGACAATTTAAGAACAGAAAGGTTGCGCCTCTTGGCAATATCTAGTCAGTTTAGTGTCACTAGGTCAGTCTCATTAGCGTATTTCCTTAAAACAAATCCCGCTCATGCATTTTGCACTCTCTGGAGGCGTCGCAGCTGATAGGCTGGTAGTAGATCGAACACTACAGAGGCATAGTCTAGCTTAGAATTAACGAGGCACTCTGCCATCTGTTTCCTCACACGATATTTCTTAGTACTGCCAGTTTCCAGCAGCATGGCGCAATTGTTTTGGGGATATGCTCGTTCCATGTCAGATGTTGGTCAACAGGTAGTCCATGCAACTTTGTAAATTGAACGCGTTCCAAGGGATCTCCTTCCCAGTTTACAGTTAAAGTACAGCTGTCCAGGCTATGGGCTCGAGACATCTGTGTTGTTGACAGAAGCATCCACTTCGTCTTCTTGGCATTTAGCGCGAGATTAGAGTCTGTAGAATAGTTTTCCAGACGTGCTCTAGCATCATTTAGGCCTGTGTTTCTATCATCCAAATTAGACACCTTTGAGTGAAGGTAAAAAGTTGTGTCTTCAGCATATTGAAAGCACGGGCACTGGATATGCTCTTGAAGATCTGCCACAAATTGGTTAAAGATAAAGGGACGTAATATGGAACCTTGAGGTACGCCGAAATCAACAGCTTCCAGGTCAGACTTTCTTACATCAATCTGGACAAACTGTCTTTGTTAACATAGATAGTTGAGCATCCATTTCAAGAAGCTTTTGGAGAATCCCATGATATATATCTTGGTAAGAACTGACTTAAACCTTACGGTGTCAAATGCCTTCGAGTAGTCGGCCATGACCATCATGGTGACCTCACCCCTCTTCGTGGATCGAATAAGATCGTCCTGATTACCGAGCAAAACAGTTGTGGTTGACTGTCCTTTCGTGAAGCCCGAGATGTTTGGGAGTAAAAAAAGATTGTTCATCAATATAGTGGACGAGTTGCTTGAGCACCAAACGCTCGAAGACCTTGGAGAACCGGGAAGTATAGAGACCGGTCGATACTCTGCATTCTGTTTTGGATTGTCGACTTTAGGGCCAGGTGAGATATGTGCAGCCTTTCCAAATGCGTGGAAACTACGAATTAGAGATACACATATTGATGATATGTGCAAGAGAACCCGTAAGGAATCGCCAACCTGTTTTACATATTTAACGGGAATTTGGTCAACGCCAGTAGAACAGTCCAATCTAAATAGGGTAATCTCTTTGAGAACTTCCTCAGTGGATGCCGTGCGGAGCTGAAAAGGATAACGATCGGGTTAAATCCACTAGGTCGGTGGCCTCGTCTAGTACCGTACCTAGTGTTCTCTCAGTTGCCTTGATAAAATAACGATTCAGCTGATCAGGATCTGCACTAATAGGCTTGGGGCTAGGGTGAATAACTCTATGGATAACCCGCCAAACCTCCTTAGGTCGCTTTGACGAGAGAGTGGTGTTCAGAAATGTTCTTTTAGCCTTTCCGTTGACAACAAGCGCAGCTTTCGATAGTATTTATAGTTTGTTCAAACAAAATATAAAATCGTGTAATGCTAAGCGGCGAAGACAACGCCCGTGAACGGTGAAAAACAACAATAGGTCTAATTAGCAAAAATATCAGCTTTGCTCGTGCAGCACACTTTTTTGTACATTCTTTGCCGCTGTTTTGCACGACTACAACGTGAAGCTTCCAGAAACGTCTTAGTTACACGTTTTATGGAGGAAATATCGGACGTTTTCTCGTTCACTTTGTTTTCATTGCCGCTCATTTTCACCTTGCATTGGCGACCGCTAGCATTTCTCATTTAGTCACCGCCGTTAAAAAATTTTCATGTTGTTCTTCCAATAAAAGAAATCTCTCTTTTTTATCTCTCGCTCTAGATTTCTGTCGCCCTTTTTCTCGTTGAACTTCGCTGGCCTGCCGCCTACTTTCTCTTTTTCCGTGTGTTGCTCTTGCTCTGTATTCCAGAGACATGGGGACATGACAATTAATCTAAGCTTAATGCTTTAGAAAACATGGATATAGAGACAATTTCCGCTTTCCGTTTTCGTCTTCATAGACTCTTTAGTTGTCTCTGTTTTACAAGACGCGGGTGGCTTTGCGATTTCCCGTCAAAATAACCTCGAGTTGCATTTGAGTTGCCATACCTGTTGATTGAGTTATTTTACATTGGTATACCTGTGGTGCGGATGGACGGTCGGGCGGTCGGTCAGAGTACGGTCACGCTCCGCTATTACGCACAGCTCTGAACGCAGTCCATGTCTCATAAGTGCCACGTATCTCATCAGACGCCATCCATGGGGCTGGCGGTCGCGTTACCTTCACTTTCTTCAAAGGGGCGTGGCGGTCTACGCACTCAGTCACGAGAGAGTAAAGTGCATCTACCAAATCATCCGGTGACTCTAGTCCATAGATGACATTCAAATGCAGAGACGAGAAATCTTGCGTAAAAGCTTGCATGTCAAGCTGTTTCTCATTGCGTATGCATTTATGACGGGGTGCATATCTTGTAACTCCGGCGTTGATAATCGCGTAAACAGCTTCATGATCACTCACAGATGGGGCTGGAAATACGTCAATGTGAACAACTCTCGAGGGGTCATTAGGGATGACGTAGGTGGTCAATCAGGGATTTCGTAGTGCGCGTGACTCTGGTTGGTTTTGTAATGTGTTGAGTCAAGTTTAAGGACTCCAAAATGTTCCTGTGCTGGCGCTCAATGTCACTCATGTTGGGTTTCATTATCTATCTATCCCCAGATACAAGTAGCAACCCATCCCATGACGTCAACACAGTAGATAATAAGTCATCAAACTAGCCACACCTTTGTATCAAGAATGAGTTCAGATCGATAAATATTGCCGATCAAGAGCTTGCTATACTTGTTCTTCCAAGAAAACTGAAGCCACAGGTGTTCGAATTCAGTTTCCAAGTTCTTGATGCCAGTTCTCCTCTTAAACTGGTCACGTTCCTTAATATAGGCGCCCACCCCTCCGCCTTTACATACATCATCCCAGTTACGGTATGTATCGACATAACCGGGTATAGAAACATGGTTAAGAAGAAGTTGGTTGTTCTTTAGCCTGGTTTCAGATAACGTAACAGTGTCGGAAGGTTAATCACTAATCAATAGTGACAGTTCATCGAATGTAGACATCATGCTTTGGGTGTTAAGATGCATCATTGATAGTTGTGAGGGATAGGCCTCATATATACACCTAATTGCACTCACGCTGTTATAGAAAAAAGCAAAAAAGCAAAAAGAAAGAAAGAAAAAGCCAAATAGGAATTAATGGAAGTTATTTATTTTTTTCTTTTTAATCATATTCACGCAAATTAGTCAGCAAGTTGGTTTGTATATTTTTAAAACACCTATTCAGTGCTGTTTTGTATATATATCAATCTGCAGGCACAGTCAGTAGAGTTAAGAGAAGGTGCGTTGGCCAATGTAAAGATGATTTCTGCTTCTTTCTTTTTCGTGGGACTAGATCCCTGAATGAAGTGAGCGTGCTCTGTATATTCCTTTTTAGCTTTGTTTAATAATTCTCTCTGCTCCGATTGGGGTCACCACTTGATCGTGGTGGGGAGGTTTGAGTGTCTCAATGACCCCTAGAGCTATGTCGGCTGGAGTCTTGTACTCCTGGTAGGGCCACCCGTGCCGAAAAGGTCGAAGGGTAGAGACCAGACAAAGAGTGATCCACTGGTCCTCCAGGATGGAGATTGGGTTTAGGGCTAACGACCCTACCACATAAGAACAATAACTGTTACAGAAACCAGAAGCGTTGATAATGAGGCAACACTGACTCGGTGTGTTGCTGGTAATGCTGCAATGGCTCCGTTGAGTCAAAACCAGCCGGAAGCCTAAAGGCCGATAGGCCCCATAGTAGCCCCTAGGCGACAGACGATCATCGGTTGACAGTCGAGAAAGAGCGTAACAAAGCAGGTTTGGGTGGAATAGCTGGGAAGTAGTGAAAGCGGTTGCACAAGACAGAAAGTGCTGGTCAGACGGCATGGACGCCTTATGCGCCTACTGGCGTGATGAGATCTGATGATGATGATGAATATTTCAGTCAGATTTTTTTTGCTTGGCAGTCACAAGGAAAGTTGAATGTTTTATAGATGAATTTGTTCGTTAAAATAATTGCAAATAGGAATAATATAAAAGGAAGAAGAATAAATTAATGGGGCAATTATTTTTTAAACTATTTTAATAGACGAGTAATCTTGTCCAGTTGTTATGAGTTACCATCGTGTTAAACAACTTAGCCTGCGTAGCAAGCGTTTCCGTTTGGTTTCGGAGAGCGAGGAACGGGATTCTCGGTTTTGGCCGCGCGAGAAATAAAACAAGAGCCAAGAAATGAAAGTGAGGGGAGGGGGAGGGGAAGGGGAGGGAAGGAAACGCTTGCAGACAAAACCCTCGATTTTGAAAACCTGCGTTCGCTGGTGAACGCAGCGCCTGATTGGCTCGGCTAGTCGAACAAAGTTGACATGTGTCGATCAAAGGTTTGTTTCATACTGAGAGGACGGTATGGTACGTGACACGTATATTAATTTCAGTGGTTGTTGTTTATTCTGGTCGGCAAATTTTGCCAAAGCATTTTCTTTGACCTCTTTTGAAAGGTAAGGCTCTTCTTGCGACTAAATAAGGTTTCAGGTCGTTTAATTTATTCTCCAAAGTGCCTCCTGGATCTGAATAACTAAAAGCGATTTTCTTTTGTCCGCGAATGCGATGGTTTCCTGCAATGTATCATGCTGGGCCCAGCTTGTTAGTATTTTTTTCAGGGATGTTGAATTCTCTCAGATGGTTATTTACAGACTGTTCTCTTGACGGATTAAAAAGACAAATGTCCAAAGCCTGTATTGATCGTTCGGATTCATTGATATTTCAACATAAACGCCATCCATGTCTTACAAAATACAAAAAAATATATTTTGAGTACGTTCACATACGCGTCCTCTGAAGTTCATTTCCGCTCCACTGAAAGCCAAACATTTTATTGGTCAATTATGACAGCTGATGACAGCATCAAATGTCGGTGCGCGAACTCAGGCATGACAGGCCAAGTGGGCGGTCTTCAAAATCCCGGGGTTAGTCTGCAAGCGTTTCCTTCCTTTTTTCCCCACCCCCTCCCCGCCCTTTTCCTTACGCCATTTTTGACTATCGTTCCTCGTTCTTTGCTCCTAAACCGCACGGAAACGCTTGCTACGCAGGCAATAAACAACTAAGATACACATTTCTGTCTCACATACCATGGCTTCGATATACTGATCAATCTTGTCTTTCAGGTCTTTCGGATTTCTTGGATGGCTGTCATTCTTAGTTATCAAGTCATAAAAAAATTTCTAGAAATTAAACCATAACATTACTCGTTTATTGCGATTATGGTTCCCTCTCGTTCAACAAGTCAAATCACTGACGGAAATTTTCCCGAAGTTACAAAGAGAAAAGAAATTTCGTCAGAGGTTGTTGACTTAACTCCCCCTAAATTTCGGAACCTACAGCTATTAGGAAATTTCACCATATAGCGGGAAAGAGGAAGGCAAAACATAATGAATCAAATGGAGTGCTGAATGTGCAGACAGAAGTTACTGTTTGACTTACGTTTCAGGGGCACCCAACGTCAATTTTCGGAAAATATCTGTTCGGAAGACGATTTCAGATCTAGAATTTTCGGAACATTTGTTGTAAAATTTCTCGCTTGCCTGCTTCTTCTAGGATATTCGAACACCAAAAGGTATAATTGCCCATTTTTAACGGACTAAAAAGGTCACCTTGAATTTTCGGGAGCCATTTTTTCTGGCTGAAATTTTCGAAAAAGTAAGTTTTGATCCCAATAATTTATCGGATCACTAGACTTTCAGCTAGGAAATCCGAACAGATGAAAAATTTTTAGGGGATCAAACTATGCCTATATTTACCGTTTAAATACTAAAATAAGTTTAACAATGCTATGTCTAAGTGGTTTGAACTATATTCTCGTTGGGCGCCCCTGTTTTTTGTAAATTCAAAATACAGTAGAGGATGTGATTTATGACCACTAAAAGTCATTTGACTACCAACCCTAAGTTCGGCTTGATCTAAATATCCATTACCATCAACATCATAGTTGTCCCAAATCTGTAAAAGGAAAGAAATCAAACTAATTTTAGGGGTCATAAAATAAATTAGTTTCCAACTTTACTATTACCCAGTTAATTTTATACTGTACGAGCAGCAGCTGAGTTTAGTTTTTATTTAAGTCTGTCTGATAAGGGTCATCCGCCACAGATCATAAGCCTAGTTGCCAGAAAATCTTTCGGAACGTTTCGATTGACTCAATTTTTGTGGATTTATAAATGAGGTGGCGATTGATTCTGCACAAAACAGGATTTCCTCGCTGAAAGTTTTTTTTTTTTGACTATGTTGTTAAAGTCGGTCCGTAGCAATGTCATTGTCCATGTAGTGGACGGTACAATTCCCTCAAAGCAATATAGCTGTAGCTTTTAAATTTTTGGACATTGATAATGATAAGGACGGACATATCAGTCTTTAGAAAGCGACTTTCATAGAATACATGTATTTACAACGCCATCTTAAACAGAAACACTTTCGACAAAACTTTTTAGCATAAATTGTAACGCTCTAAAAACACGACGCTTAAGAGACCACGTGATGTCAATATTATCAAATACGACAAACAGAAACGATAAACGATAGTTAAAAATACGAAGAACAAAAGAATGACATAACAAGGTGAAATTTCCTACTAAACTTGTTGCTTTTTTAAACGACAGTTTTTATGCTTAAAATGTTTCGCCATTCCTTCTTTATTAGAACAACGCTTTCAATTAATAACAGTGGTTCACTGAATATTTTAGCAAAAATTTGTGAAGTCAGTTTTGCACTTTTTAAATAACAACAAAAAAGAAAGCAAAAAAATGGCGTACCGTAAAATTTCCAAAATAAGCACCGGGGCTTATATTTTTCAAAGGCCCTTTTTGAGGGGCTTATTTTTGGAGGTGCTTATAATCGGAGGGCCTTATCTACGGAGGGAAATCGATTGGGCTAGTCTTATAGTTGGAGGTAAATTTACCGGTTTTTGCTTTGTTTTACTTTGTATTAATTTGAGGGCAATTTTCCAAGTACAATCCCCCGGGAGGCTTATATTTGGAGAGGCAATTTAACGGAGATTTTTTTGCGTTACCGGTTTGGGGGGCTTATATTTGGAGGGGCTTATACGTGGAGGGGTTTATTATCGTAAATTTACGGTATTTAAGACCCTGAGAGTGCAACATATTTAGTTTTTTCACTCGTTGCATGCCTATATATGTAACCGGCCATTCTCCACATCTATAGTTTGCTGTTTACCTTCATAAAATCAATGCTTGAGATCCTCTCGTGTTGTTTTCCGAATTCAGCTTTTAGAAAGTTAACTGGGACAATGTTTGCTGTCAGCTGAAACAAGATCATAGAGTACAATTC